TAAAAGAATTCATTCTTTTTGTACTTTGTTGATAGGAAAAGTCTGAAAAGAAAAAAGGTACGGATTATAAAGATTCCTCCACTTTCTTTTCAGGACTTTCCCTTCAATAAATCTGAAGATAAAATACAGCACAAAGAATCAATTCTTTTATAATAATAAAGATAAAACTTATTTATGCAGTTACTCAAAACATAAAATTACTTAGTTTTAATATTGAAATCTTTAAAATTTTAAATAATTATCTAATAATTGAAATATATTATCATGGATAGTAACTGATATATTATTGAAGGTGTCAGTTCAAAGTGAACATTCATAAAATGTGTATCCTTTTGTTGCATATATACGTAATAATGATTTAACCCTAATCGGCCCAAAAGAACAGATTTTCGACGTTGACTTTGATTGTTGACTGTTTTCACAAAATGTAATGTTCGGCTATGAAAACGGTCATACCTTATGGTTTCGAGGTCGCTCTATCAATTGCCGCTGAAAAATTTCCAAAAAAATGACACCTAACGTATATTTTTCAAAAAAATTTAGAAAAAATACTGATTTTTCATCCTTTCTTTCTCTTTTTCTACATTTTTTGGCGGGAAAACATTTTTTTATCACTCAAAAATCTATCAGAAAGGGGGTCCCGATACCTAAGGAATAAGATCATACAAAAAAAGAAATTTTTTTTCAAATCGGTGGTTTCAAAATGGCCGCTTACCGAATCATTTACTTTCAATTTACGAATTTCGTTATTTACAATTCCTTCTTCTTGCTTCTAAGTTTAGATTATCATTTTGGGGGATTTTCGGGTTCCCTGAATACGATGTCGATGTCAAAAATACAAAATTCAAGATGGCGGATCCAATATGGCGGATGTCTAAAGCATAAATCATGGTTTCTTATCGACCAAGGTGGAAAGTACTGATACGGGGGTTTTTGGGGTTGCTGAGAACCATCTCGGTATTCAAAATACAAAATTCAAAATGGCGAATCCAATATGGCGGATGTCTGAAGCATAAATCTTTCTTTCTTCTCGAGTAAATCTGCAAATACTCGTATCAGGAGTTTTTGTGGTTGCTGATCATGATACTGACAATATAATTGTAAATTTCGAAATATTATATTCGAAATGTATTGTCTCTTTGCCGTTCATCAGTGAACGTTGCCCGATTCCCACCGCGTGGAGGTAGACAAAATTGGGAATCTTATTTTTTTTTGTATTTTATGTATTTTTTTTGTATTTTTCATATTTTATGTATTTTTTTGTATTTTTCATATTTTATGTATTTTTTTTTATGTATTTTATCAATTTTGTCCACCTCCACGCGGTAAGAATCGGGAAACGTTCACTGATCAATGGCAAAGAGTCAATACATATCAAATTTAATCTTTCGAAACTTACAATTTTATCGTCAGGATCGTGATAATCGAAACCCCCCCCCCAAAACCCCCATACGAGTAATTTCTCATTTATTCAATAAGAAAGAACGATTTTTGCTTCAGAAATCAGCCATATTGGATCCTCCGCCTTGAATTTTGTATGTTGGATATCGAGATCGTTCTCAGCTACATCGAAAACCCCCATATGAATACTTTCCATCTTAGTCGATATGAAACCATGATTTAGGCTTCAGACATCCGCCATATTGGATTCGCCATTTCGAATTTTGTATTTTGAATATCGAGATCGTTCTCAGCAACCCCAAAAACCCCCGTATCAGTACTTTCCACCTTGGTCAATAAAAAACCATGATTTATGCTTTAGACATTCGCCATATTGGATCCGCCATCTTGAATTTTGTATTTTTGACATCGACATCGTATTCAGGGAACCCGAAAATCCCCCAAAATGATAATCTAAACTTAGAAACAAGAAGAAGGAATTGTAAATAACGAAATTCGTAAATTGAAAGCAAATGATTCGGTAAGCGGCCATTTTGAAACCGATTTGAAAAAAAATTTCTTTTCTTGTATGATCTTATTCCTTAGGTATCGGGACCCCCTTTCTGATAGATTTTTGAGTGATAAAAAAATGTTTTCCCGCCAAAAAATGTAGAAAAAGAGGAAAAAAGTAATGAAAAATCAGTATTTTTTCTAAATTTCTTTGGAATGTAACTACCTTATTTTTTATGCTCGGACTAGCTCGTCGGTTTTAAGCACTGTATAGTTTCGCGGATCGCATAAAAAAGAAGTTCGGCAGGAGGAGTATTCGCGCGTCGGATCGGAAGTGTACGGAAATGCTCGGTGGACAGAATAATATATCACAATATTTTATAACGATCACAGTTTATTATAACAAAAAGAAAACAAAAGAAAATAAAGAAAGAATACGAATAATATATTATAATGATAATATAAAACGCAACGGAAAAGACTACATATAGATATTCACAACGCGAATAACGGCGAGACAGAAACGAAACAAATAAGCGGACGCGAACAATGCAGAAGAAATACTTAAGTCTAAAACGCGCGGAAATATGTACAACGAGTACGGTCGCGAGTGCTAACCTGCAACATGGCGGAACGTGGGTATACGCCAACAATAAGAAATCGCGACGCGAAAACGAACACGAACATGGGAAGAGGAACGGAGTCGATACCCGACGGTCGGGAACGACCGACAGAGGCAGGGAGCGCCCTATCCCTTTTCGAATGTCGAGTATCGGGAAGGAAATTCGGGATTCGGAAAAGAAGATGCGGAAGAAAGTAAAGAGAGTTGCAGCGGTTGTCCGGCGGCCGGGAACGCCCGGCAGAGGCAGGGTACATCCTACCCCCTAGGTTCGTCGGAAACGAGCAGGCCTCGGAAAGCGGTCTCGGAGTACTCAGGAGCTGGTGATTTCGGAGCGATCTGGATCGGAAAAATGTTGAGCGGAAAAAGGCTCTCGCGGCTCGACGTCGCTGTATTATATACTTAAACCGCCAGCCTCGCTCGAATTGCCCCGGTTGTCTTCGACAATTTCCGCCGATCGGCTTCTCGTGGGAGAGAAGGTTTCCGATCGGCGGTCTCCGGCGACAGTCGGCATTTTCCGACGAGACTGGCGGTTTCGACGGCTGCTGTATCGGTGAATTATTTTATAATAATCTATTTGCAGGCGCCTCGCCCCTTTTTCCCGATGACACCACGTAGGGACGATGCATTTTAGGGGGGCATCGTTACAGGAAAATATACGTTAGGTGTCATTTTTTTGGAAATTTTTCAGCGGCAATCGATAGAGCGACCTCGAAACCATAAGGTATGACCGTTTTCATAGCCGAACATTACATTTTGTGAAAACAGTCAACAATCAAAGTCAACGTCGAAAATCTGTTCTTTTGGGCCTATTAGGGTTAACAACACATGTACACTAGTTGTTTATAATAGTAATGTTAAATCAATATTACGTATATATGCAACGAAAGAATATATACTTCATGTATGTTTACTTTGAACTTGCACCTTCAATAATATATGAGGCATTTTTCATGGTAATATGTACCATTTCATTACACAGGCCCACAAAAAAAAAAGTGGTGTGTTCTTTTGACCAACCCTACATATCCTTATGTATTTTTCGATGCTGAATCCGAATTTGAAGTCAAAATATGGGGTTCGTGGACTGTTTGAAGAGAAAAACGCAAAAAACCACGATTTTTGGGGTTTTTTTAAAGTTTTCTCGAGATTAAAAAAAAACAAAGGATGGTACGGCAAATTTGACTCCATATTTGGATTCTACGGATCAAAATACATGGAAAACCATATGGTAAATATTTTTTTTTGAAAAATTTCAACCCCTGGTACAGCCTTGAAAAGTCTCAAAACTCTCTGAAAAGCTGTAATTCGGCACAAACGTAGTAAAATAAGATCGTAACTTTATTTATACAAATTATAAGTGCTAAAAACACTATTCCGGAGGTTTTTGAGATCGCTGAAGATGAAGTCAAGGCCAAATTTACAACTTGGTTCCCCTATAAAACTTATCGTTTTTTTTAATTGCTCAGAAATGACCAATTCTGAGACTATATAAAATAAGATATGATCTATTTAACTTCAGCTTTGAATTATATCTCAAGTTTACAACCCCCAAGCACACAACCCATAGCTCATAACCCCAAAGCCTACAAATCCCAAACCCACAACCTTAGACGTTTGGAATTGGTGAGTTTTAAACGATGTTGAAATGTGGCTTAGAGTTTTATGGGTTTGGTATTTTTAAGTGGATTTAGAATTTATAGAGTTATAGTTTGTCTGCTTGAGAGGGTTATAAAGAGTTTTTTTTTCAATCTTAGATATTAGGAATTT